CTAAGGTAAATTGTTATTACAGAAAATTTATGGGCTCTGCAGTTAGAGAAACATGGGCTAAAAATTCAAATGGGCTGTTTAATGGATTTGTGACTTTATATGGTACTTAATTTCCCTAAGCATCTGTTTTCTTGGTTTACCATGGATGTAAAATTTCAAGGACATTTTGGGAATTAATTGAAATAATATAAATGAAAGTGCTGTATAAACCATGTGGCACTAAATATGCTTTAAGAAGAGCTGGTTTATTTATCTTCTTTTAGTTGGAATTGTTTTCCAACTTTGGACAAAATAATCATAGTAACTGTGATTGTACAAAGGCATTATTTATTCAAATGAAATATTAAGGACTTTTATATTCTATCTCACTAACTTTTACGACACCCTGATAGAACTTTATCTTTGTTCCCAAATGAAGCACTAGGGTACTGTGGTTTTGTAACTTAGATATATTTGTGTAGCTAACAAGTGTTCAATATATCAGAGACTACCTAAAATTAAAGTCTATTCTCTTAAAGAAAGTATTTCATAACCTATATTCTATTAGAAACACAGCCACAGAGATGATAATTTCTTCCTTTTATTTGAGAATGAATAAATTATATAATAAAGAAAAATATACTAACATCATTTTACATTTTAAAAAATAAATCCAGTTGAAAAATGAAATTACAATATATCCTATTTAATCTGACTTAAAGTTGAGCTGATAAGTAATGAAACAATGACACAGTTTGGGAGACTCCATTGCCTTCTATATGTCTGACTTACCTCTGATTTCATACAGGCTCACTAACATGCAGAATGGCCAGAACATAAAAAATACTAGCAGTTGCCATTGTTGCAATCCAGGGAAACCAGCATTCCTGAACACATTTCCTCTTAGTGTACCTCTTTGCTTTCTATTGTTAATGTTTTTGTCCTAAGTTTCCTATTATTTCTTGAGTATAGAGAGTGAGAGAGGAGCAAATGTCTGAAAGAAAAAAAAAAAAACATCAGAAAGTATTTTAAACTGTCTGATGTGGTTTCTACACAGATCTTATGTAGCATGAGTTACATAATATTTTATCTGTTCTCTCTGCAGATGGCTCACAGGGAATAATTCAGCGAATCAAAATTGCCAGAACAGGACTTCACACAAAACACTAAGGAATATAAAATATAATACACATTAGAATTGAGATTTGACAAAGAAGCTTGGGGGAGACAGAAAAAATAACAATGAACAAACAACCATTCTAAATGTGATCTGTTTCTCTTGAGAAACAAATATACTGACAGAAATTATTTTTCAGACAGAGATTACCAAAAAAGTATCTCAATTCAGACTTCAGAGTTCTACCAAAAGTGCCTTTACAGCATGACATTTTTAAAAACTGGTAATCTACCACATTGTACTAAGTCCTTCATTGCCTCTATTAACTTATTTTTTAAAATATTTTATTTATTTGACAGACAGAGATCACAAGTAGGCAGAGAGGCAGGCAGAGAGAGAGAGGAGGAAGCAGGCTCCCTGCCTAACAGAGAGCCCGGTGTGGGGCTCGATCCCAGCACCCTTGGATCATGACCTGATCCAAAGGCAGAGGTTTAACCCATTGAGCCACCCAGGCACCCCACCTCTATTAACTTTAATCTGCCTTCCAAGAAGAATTTTTGCTACTCTAATATTGCTAGTGCTTTATATTTTTTTCCTTCTCACTCTGTTGCTCACCAGCAATGTCAGTTGAGGAGGTTCTTGTTTTGATTGATTAATGTTCCAGTGTATATTGGCACCTTCCTTGACCAGACCATGATATATATTAATCATCCCCAAATGATATGATGTGAGTGTAAAACACCAATAAAATTGTGTCTGTCTTTAGTAAAAACTAAGCAATATGTGCAGTTCCATAAGAGTTTGGAAAATGTAAAATAGAACAAGTATAAGTTCTTAGTCATTTTATTTTGTTTCATTTTCAAATCAGGTTATTATATCAGCTGTTATAGCTCAAGACCTCAGGCAAAAAACAACTTCTCAATTTACACATTTGTGAAAACGAGATAATCACTCTAATTTGCCATATAGCTTTGAAAACTAAATATGGTATGATTGAGGACATACCTAGTTGAGTATATGGCATAGAATAAATGCTCTCTACAAAAGAGATATTATTATTTGTGAAATTCCTATTAGACTTCCAGGTGGCATGAGTGTGACTTTAGGTGACTGCCTAAATACTCATTTATCTCATATTTTTAAATATAATACAGATAAACAAGGAGAATATATAAAATAAGACATAACATATACCTTAAGCATAACTACAAAATAGAAGAATATGACCTTCAAATAATTTATAAGCAGTAAAGTAAACATTCAAGCCTATACCTGAAGGGAGGAATTGGACAAACACTGCAGATATTATGTAAAAAAATATAGTTGTTGCAGATAATATATTTCATTTTTTATAACTTTAAGAAAGAAACTGCAATATCAGTAACAAAATAACATGTTAGAGTAAGTTGATTAAACTGTTTATTCCTTTAGCTATTATCATATACAATATTTGTATTATTCATAGCAATCAGCAGAATTAGGTATGTTTTATAGCCACTGCCTTTCTGTACAGAATTGTAACTAAATAAGGAAACGGAACCTACAGAGAGTTTGAAAGAAAGACATAACATAGCTACTTTTGGTTTAAAAGAAAAATTAAAGTGCTTTGCCTTGCAAGTATCTGTGAGATGGATATTGGAGGATACTATAGAAGTTGAAATTTTATTTGTCCATTATTGGATCTTTACAATGACATCTATTCATGTTAATACATATTTTCATTTTTTTCTAGAAAGCAGTACTTTATGAAGCAAGTTTCTGAAAGCTTGTTTTACTTGCTGATTCCTCAGGGTATAAATAAAAGGGTTCAACATGGGGGCAATTGAGGTGTTGCGAATAGCTACTCCTTTGGTCAGTGATGCTCTTTCTCTTGCTGAAGGCTTGACATACATGAATATACAGCTCCCATAAGAGATGGAAATGACAATCAAGTGAGAGGAGCACATGGAGAAAGCCTTTTCCTCTGACTAGAAGATGGGATTCTCAGGATGGTGTTAAGGATGCACAGGTAGGAGACAATCACTAATGCCAAAGTGAACAGCAGAGTGACAAAAGCAAAGTAAAAGCCAGTCATCTCCAAAAGCCATGTATCTGAGCATGAGAGTTGTAAGATGGGGAAAGAGTCACAAGAGAAATGATCAATTACATTGGAAGCACAGAAATCTAGCTGGAGGATGAGCATGAGTGGTGGGAAAATGGTAAGAAATCCTCCTAGCCAGGACCCAAAGACAAGCAGGGTGCAGATTTTTTTGCTCATGATGGTGGTGTAATGAAGAGGCTTGCAGATGGCAATGTGATGATCAAAAGACATGGCAGTGAGAAGAAAAAATTCCGAAACACCCATGAAGATGAAGAAAAATAGTTGAGCTAAACAATTATTATAGGAAATGGTCTTGATATTCATCATGATTGCCCCCAAAAATCTGGGGATAGAGACACTGGTGAGTGTAATTTCTAAGAAGGTGAAATTCTGCAGGAAGTAATACATAGGAGTCTTGAGATGACAGTCTGTCAAGGTGAGGATGATGATGGTTAGGTTTCCAGTGACTCTTAATGCATAAGCCATAAATAAAAAGATAAAGATTACAACCTGAAGCTGTGGGTCATGTGAGATGCCCAAGAGTATGAACTCTGTAATCACTGTAGGGTTTCTCATGCTGCTTTTTATTTTCTTTAAGCAAAATCTACTGTTGGGAAACAAGACAAAAAGAAAGAGTATGTGAATAGTAAGGGAACTGAGGATTTAAAAATTTTAATGTTCATATTATTAGCTGCAATGAAATGAAGCAATGGAACTTTTTTCCTGTGTGTAGTTTTTCAATATCCACTCAGTCTGTTAAAGTACATGTATTTTACACATACTCTCTTGAAAAGGAAAACCATATTCATAGGTCTATGTTAAAAGTCCCCTCATGAGTGACTTTACATAACACCTGTACCTGTAAGCAAACTGTCTATATATGCAACATATTTCTTTTTTTTTTAAAGATTTTATTTATTTATTTGACAGACAGAGATCACAAGTAGGCAGAGAGAGAGATAGGAGGAAGCAGGTTCTCTGCTGAGCAGAGAGCCCTATGTGGGGCTCCATCTCAGGATCTGGGATCATGACCCTAGCCGAAGGCCGAGGCTTTAACCCACTGAGCCACCCAGGTGCCCCAATGCAACATATTTCTTAATTTTTATTTCTTAATTTTTATTTTATTTTAATTCCAATGTTGGTAACACACACTGTTATATTCAATTCACTTGTACAATATAGTGATTCAACAATTGCATACATCACCCAGTGCTCATCAGGACCCTTGTAGTCCTTCCTTAATCCCCATCCCCTATTTCTCCCTTTCCCCCACCCATCTCCCCTCTGGTAATCATCAGTTTATTCTCTACAGTTAAGAGTGTCTTCTTTCCATAAAGGAGGAAAGAACATCCAGTGGGAAGAAAGAGAGTCTCTCCAACAAATGGTGGTGTAAACTGGCCAGCTACATGCAGAAGAATGAAAATATACCACTCTCTTACACCATCCACAATACTAAACTCAAAATAGATTAAAGATCTAAATGTGAGACCTGAAAGCATAAAAATCCTAGCAGAGGGCACAGGCAGTAGTAATCTCTCTGAAATTGGCCACAGTAACATTTTTCTAGATATGTCTCCAGAGGCAAAGGAAATTCGTTCCTGCAATACTAGGTATCACATCTGTAATTTAGCTATTAAAGCATTGTTTTCCAGTTTCCAAGATTGTGTGTTCTTAGGACTGAAATACCTAATTCTGAGTTTTAACTTTGATGCCACTTACAAACTTCATCTTCTGATTTTGGTGGAAGCTGATGTCTTTGTTATAATTCCTGAGCTTAATAAGAACACGATTATTGTTATTCTTAACATATATACTTTTTAAATGTGACCAGAAGAAATAAATGTATTTCCTGTCTTAGAAATATGAGACTAGAATCACCTTGGCTATAAATGAGAGTAAAATTCTTTATCTGTGTGAAAGAAAACAGAAGCCAGAAATATCATTTAATACATAAAAGAAGCCATATAAATAACATAGTTTTCACAACATAGTGATCCATTCATATCATCTTCATGTTCTTTATTTAAATTAACAATTGAGGAGGGGGAGACAAGATGGCGGGGAAGTAGGAGGAGGTGCCCTTTCAACCTGTACCCTAAAGTGAGCTGATTACCTTCCAAAGAACTCTGATCACCCATGAAATCAGCCTGAGATCAGAATTATACACGTCTGGATCTCTACAGGAGCAGAAGATGCCAGTGGGCAGGTAAAGTGGAGTGGGAATGTCGGACTGATAACAGAAGATAAACAAAAGGGGGAGGGAGCCACCAGAGGCGACCCATTGGAAAGTAGTATCCCAATACGAGAGTGCCCTGCGTCTGGGGACCAGCATTAACTTGGAGTCTGGTAGAAAGCACTCAAAAAGAGCAAAGGATCGCGAGGGGGGTAAATTGTGTGAATCAGGCCAGCTAGGGACAGGGGCTTAAGTCCCCAGACCCAGGACAGCCACCCCTGGCACAGAGCCAGAGAGACTGCAGCGGAGAAACCCCGTCTTGGTCCCTGAGCTACCAGCGCGCCTGAGAGCACATGGGGTCCGGCTCCCATGAGGGGCTGGGAGCCTCGCTAGCTGGCAGAAGCACAGCCTTTTTGCAGTCCCCATGCGAGTGCCAGTGCCATGCTATCAGAGTCTGAGTCGCGCCCCTCGCCCTCCCCTGAGAGAGGTGCACACAGGCTCCAGCCTGGTGCTCTCAGACCCAGAAACACCAGGCACTCCCAGCCCAGGCCAGCAGGAAAATCTCAGTGTGCGATCGCTGCTTGGAACCTCTCTGGCAGTCTGGAGCTGCCCAGACAGCCGCCGCTACTGTGGTTTTGGGTACAAGCAAAAAATCCTGCAACCTACGAAAACCATCAAAAGCCATCAAGGCGAGAGAGAAAAAAAAAAAAGTGAACAAACATAAAAACCTCCAGAGAACAAAAGCCTAAAAAAACCAGTTTCCTGGGCGCCTGAGTGGCTCAGTGGGTTAAGCTGCTGCCTTCGGCTCAGGTCATGATCTCAGGGTCCTGGGATCGAGTCCCTCATCAGGCTCTCTGCTCGGCAGGGAGCCTGCTTCCCTCCCTCTCTCTCTGCCTGCCTCTCTGTCTACTTGTGATCTCTCTCTGTCAAATAAATAAATAAAATCTTTAAACAACAACAACAACAAAAAACAGTTTCCTCAGAGCCCACCCCTTGAGGGGGGTGGGAGGACTTAACTCAGAGAACATCATTGACTGAAACCCCACGTAGCAGGCCCCTCCCCCAGAAAACCAACCAGAAAAGAAAAAAAAAAAAAGAGAGAGAGAGAGAACAACCACCACTACTTCATAGGACAACTTTTATTTTTAATTCGTTCCCACTATTCTGGGTCATTTTTTTTATATAGATAATTTTTTAACCTATTTACCATCACAGTGAGATGTCCAGTACATCAAATTCCATAATAACATTCTAACCTGAACTTTTTGATACATACATCTATGTTTTTCTTTTGCATTTCTATTTTTTAAATTTCCTTTTTTTAAAATTTTAGTTTAGTTTAGTCTAGTTTATTCCTTTTTTACTTTTATTTTCTAATATTCATATAGAGTTAAACTTCAAGGTAATCCCCTTTCCCCAATCAATGCTACCCCTATAGGTAAACCAATTTTTAATCCTTTATTTTAGGAAAGTTGAGTCCTTTAACAAAGATATCAAGATACATCCAGGAAGAATCAAAACAAACTTCCTCGCCCACACTGAGAATTTATAACCACTCTCCCATCTTTTTCTTCCACCATGTTTCCGTGTTTTTGTGTTTGTCCTGATAGTATATAAATTTTACACTTGGGGTTCTTTTTGACGAGGTTCTTCCTTTATTTGCATATATATATATATATATATATATAAAATTTTTTTTTCTCTTGTCATATACTTTTATCAGTCTTTTTGTTTGTCTGTTTTTGTTTGTATACTTTAAAAATCTCACCTTGGGGCCCATTTGGGCTGAACCTTCTCTTTTATCTTCCCTTTCTTTCCTGTCTCTTTCTCTCTCTTTTTTTCTTTTTCTTTTCTTTTTTCTCTCATTTGGGTGGGGAATCCTGATTGCCCAGAAGCGTTCCAGGGTGCACCTTGACTGCACCACGGTCGATACATCCAGCTACATCCGTTCAGCCATCTGTCACCAAAATGACTAGGAAGAGGAATGCCCAACAGAAGAAAAATACAGAGGTTGGGCCTTCTGCAACAGAGCTAATGGCTATCAACATAGACAATATGTCGGAAAGAGAATTCAGGCTAACAATTATCCAGGCAATACCTAGGTTGGAGAAAGCATGGATGACCAAATGGAATTGATTAGGGCCAAACTGAAAGTGACCAGAGTTGATGTTCACAATGTTAGGGCAGAGCTGAAAGCTACCAGGGATGAGGTTCACAATGCTCTCAATGAGTTCCAATCTAATCTAAATTACAATTACATAAGAATACTGTTAATCAAGATTAAGAGTCATATTGATATGAATACATTAATAGTAGGAGATCTTAACACGCCTCTCTCAGAAATAGACAGATCATCGAAGCAGAAAATCAATAAAGA